AATGGTTTTTAAAATCAGCTATTGCTCAACATAATTGTAGTTATTATAACTATTTCCGATGGATAGAATACGAAAATTTCCGAAACATTGAAGAAGTAGGTAGAGGTGGTTTTTCTGTAGTGTATAAAACATCATATAAAATATCATATGAGAGTAGTAAGGCAAGATACAGGTGAGGAAGAAAACGTGCCCATGGCATTTTTCTTAGATTTTTTTTTTTTTTTTTTTTTTTTACACGTGATGATGTGGATTGAAAGTACAAGTCAACGCTATCTCAATTGCTTGGCCAATTCAACATAACATTCTGGAGTCCCAGTAATAAATTCAGGTCGTAATCCGAAACAAATCATCATCACAAGATCAGCGTCATATGGTTCGCCTTTGTCCGGGAGATATTTCCTACATGATAACTCCATGCCCATAAATATCATTGGCTATTGTAAACTTTTGTCTCATTAAAACTTCTGGTGCGATATAAGGCATGACTCCGTAAATATAAATTTTATCTTGGTTTATATCAAGACATTGAAAGACCTAAGTCTGCGATATATGCATTATAGAGTACATTTTGTAAAACATTACCATTATGCAAATCTCGATGAATAAGGTCTTGAGAATGAATCGATTGGAGATCGGTAGAAATAAATGCAACGAATTTAGCTTTTCTTTCCATGCCAGTCGTGATACTCTAAAGAGATTATTACGCAAGGAACCCATAATTGCATAACCTAAAACAAGAACGTAATCTTCATTTCTGGATACCCCGTAACATTTTAAGAATAAAGAATTCTTTTTTTTTTTTTTTTTTTTTTAATTTCGTAATAAGCAAGTAACTAATCCGTAAAATTTTGAAATCGCCTTTGTGATTCATGAACTAATTTAAGTGCAACATCGAATTTCTACTTAGCATGGTATATAGTTGCAAATCCACCTTTTTCAATCTCCTTAATATCCTTTAATTCATTGTAAGGAATCCATATAATTTATATTTATTTTTGATCACATTCCTACTATCTGCATCACCAATTTCCGCAGATTTAAAGTAATATTCAAATGCCTTCTTTTTTTTTTTTTTTTTTTTTTTTTTTCATTCTTTTCGACTCCAATTCCTTCATCATAACAACATCCAACGTTGTACGTTCCACTAGCGTTTCCCATCTCTGCAACTTTTTGAAAATATTCGAATGTCTTTTTTTTTTTTACCAATTCCTTCAGCATAACAACGTCCAACACTATATGTTCCATTAGCGTGTCCTATCTCTGCAGATTTTTGAAAATATTCGAATGTTTTGTTTATTCTTTTCGACACCAATTCCATTATGATAAAAATATTCAACAAAATCATCGTATGTTATATCAAGACATACACCCCTGCCGATTAATAATACAGTAAATGAATGTCTTATATTCATTTTTTCAATTATTCTCGCTCAGATTTCATATTAAACACTCTCTTTATTAGAGATTATGAAGATACATAATGGGTACAAGGCACCATAGGTAAACAGGATGGACGGGTGGGCTTTCATAATTTACGCCGTCATGCATCTTGTAATCTTTGTTGCATGTATCTCTATCGCATGTAATCACATGACATGCATATCATTTCTATCGTATAAGTCACAATTGGGACGAAAAGCACACATCATTTGTAAATTTTTTTTTTTTTTTTTTTTAATAATAACAATATCAACTTGATAGAAATACGTGAATGCCTTGTTTTCATCCTTTTCAACTCCTATGTATAGATGCTAGTGAAATGTGGTGAAAATGAGATAAATTGGTGAAATTAATTTTACCAGCATCCATACACCTATCCTATGTAACCGACCGTTTAGTTTGCCTGTATCTGCCAATTCTTAACAATTGTAAAATATTGGACTGGATGCTTTCATAAACCATTGAGTTTAAAATCAGGCTCATAAAGTTCTTTCATTAGTATCTCGCCCACCCATATCATAATATTTATTATCACCTTTCGTGACTTTCGTGACTCCATAGAACGGAATAACACGTTTAAATGGTAACGAACTCTCCATAATCGTTTAAGCACAGCAATCAAACTTTTATTGTTTTCGACTATGCTTGCATCAAGTTTCTTTGAAGAAAGTTCAGAGTGAGCCTCTCTTTTTCCTTTTCTTTTCTCTTTCTTTCTTTCTTTCTTTCTTTTTTTTTTTTTTTTTTTTTTTTTTTTGCAGGGTATTCGAAATGTACTTTTCCAATCGAAGCAATTATCAAGATGATTCAAGAAATCGCCGTGAGGTTTTTCTTCGTATTTTTTTATATGGGAGCACAGGTTTTATGCATAGCACGATGGAGCCAGATCATAATCGGGCACCGAAGAGAACAAGTGACAAGACAAGCGAAGAAAGAAAGCACTGAGATTCACCAT